GGTGGGCTGAGCTGGCCACACACACACACACACACACACACATAAATAAATAAATAAATAAAATTAAAAAAAAAAAAAGAAAATGAAAATGACTTTACCATACACATAAAACGTACAATATGCAAAACAACTGAAAGTAAAAAGTCAAAGATATGGGCCCATTTCTCCTGTATATAATGTTTTATGTTCTAGCATATGGAAACTTCTAGAGGTTTAAGATCAGCCTCTATTCCAGATATACAAAATAGCTATAGGTAGTCTAAAAAAACAGCCTACCAACTACACTCATTGGCAAATAATTTGGCTAGGAAACTCAATGAGCCGTTTGTCTTTATCCAAGGAACAACATGTGCTGAAAAGTATTCTGAATTTTGGAAGGGAAGCTGATACCAGTAATCACTTGCATAAACATTAAATTAATGAGTCTCTTCAGACTATTATTTCATTATAAAAATACATGCTCATTTTTAAAAAGTACTTTTAAAACTTTTATAAAATAAGTACTTAAAATTTAAAAAATAAGAACTTAAATTTTTTAAGGGGGGGAAATAAATAAATTTTTTAAAATAATGTACTCTATAGTACCACTTACCCAGACTTCTCCCCCATATAATTTACAAACTAAGTTACTTTTTTGTTTGCTTTGCATTTCTGGCACTGGAGATCCAGTCCAGAGTGCTGTGCATGCCCGGCAAGCGCTCGAACACCGAGCTGCACCCCCAGCCCTATTATATTTTAAAAATGGACTCAGTTCTGTTTTTCCTTTTTGCAGTGCTGGGGATGCTCTATCATTGAACACTAGCCCGGATCACTGACATTTTAAATCTGCTCTGCAGATTGGCATTTTTTCATGTCAATGAATATAAACATAAAAGTATTCAAGAGTGTATCATAATTATTTATTCTGTATTTCTGGACTTTCTTCAGTATTTTGACTTCTAAAATATTTCTAGAGAAACTTTTGTAGATAAATTTCTGTACACATCCGTAATTTTTCCCTTAAGAGACCATAAATCCTAAGAGGTTAAATTGCAGGGTCAGACTCTTGACAACTGTGCAAATGTTCCAAGAAGAATGACGCCCGCTGACATCACGGAGGAGTGCCCAGCTCCCAGCCCTCCCGCTCTGTGCACAGCAGCCTCAGGCTTATCTCCTCTCCGCTAGCCCACTGCACACCTGAGGGAGGCAGATTACTGCACCCAAACTGCACTGCTGCGCAGGGGAAGGCTGGCTTCTCGCAGTGACCTACGGTCAGCCAGTACCTCTGGCCTTACAGCATCTTAATAATAGCTGGGAATTTGTTTTTAGTTTTGTTATTTTTACATTTTTTATTATTCATGTTTATAATACAAAATACTTAACTCTTTTTTTATTCCCTTTCTCTTCCCTCCCCCTACATTTCCATCCGTCTTGATTTTCTCTGGGGTTTTTTTGAAGTGTTTGCAATACATGTTTCCATTCCTTGCATGGAGCTGGTACATGTACAGTATCTTCATTCCTTTTCTCATCCCCTTTACCTCCTACATTTTTTTTTTGCATTTATTTTATGCTTAATTTATTCCCATGCCATAAGTTTTTGTTTCTTCAGTTTCTTCTAGGGTATCTTTTCCTTCTGTGCAACTTCCTCCTCTGGTTTGGGAACAATTTGTTCCTTTTCAGTAAGGATCATCTCAATATGGCAGGGGAGCTCAGGGATGGGTTAATCCAGCCATGAGCTCTATAAGTACGGTGGCCCATCTTGGGTGCTTTGTTCACCAGATATGTTCAATAACCAGAGAATCTACATCTAAACTCTTAAGCTCAGCTCTACTCTCTGCATTTTTAAGTTTGTGCAGCAAAAATTCAGCACTCTTTTTGGACCACCAACCCTGTGTCCAGCCCCACTGTTTGACCTGGGCACACCTACCACCTCCACCACTGTAACGCCAGAATGGCACACACTGCTTCTTTAATGTGACATCATTCAGATACTTGGTGGCTTTTCATATATGCATACCCTTGATGGCCTGGGCAGTTTCACACATGTTCTTAAAGTGAATGTGAAGATTTGAACCTCTTGATTTGTATGATTTTGTGGGGTTTTCTGGGTCAAGAGAGTAGCGAACCATTTTCACAGGTCACCTCAGGCCGCTCACAGGAAGAGGGCCTCCATATCTTAATGATACATGCTATAACAATATGATTTACACAATGACCCTGATTTATACATCAGAGAACATCTTCCCATGGTCTCTCCTATAAACTCAGGGTAGCCAGAACCACATTATACAACCTTCTACCAAAGTTCTAATTGAGGTAACTGGCGTAGAGATGGGACATTTCAGAATTGAGAGGAATCTCTGGTAACATCTAACTTTTTGCAAATTATAAATTATAAATAAATTTTACAATTAAAGCAAAAAGGGGTCGCCTATGATCATATTACAATAGTATTAGTATTGGTTAAAAAGTTACCAGAGGGCTGGTGAGATGGCTCAGTGGTCTAAAGCACCTACTTAGAACAAGCTTGGCAAAGCACAGGGACCGC